CATTCTAGGGCGCTGAAATAACTTGCAAAGACTCAAACCTGCTTGGCGACAAGCGAGCGCAGACATACATTCAGATCTTTGCTCGTTTGGACAGACAGATAGCTGGGCGTGTGCGCAACGCAATTTGTTACCCCAACAAAAGCCAGCGAATGCAAATTGTGTGTCTGAAGTTCGCAGCCATAACTAAGTTCATGTTAAAGAGTAGAGGGGCGCAGTATGCGGCAGCAACTTGTAAGAGTTCCTCAAATTTGTTTGCAAAGAAGCTCGTCAGTGTGCCACTTTTGCTGTTTCCTAATGAAACGCACGCACACACACGCACACACACGCACACACACACACACACACACGCAACAAAATGTTATGTAATCACGAAATGATGTTGCCGCTACCAAGCAGCAAGGTCTCCTTAAGACTTTTGTAGTGAGACAGAAGAGAAGTTGCAAGAAGTTGACACAACCGCTCATTTTTTGTTGCCATTCATTTGCACAACCCATTGACTTATTCAGGCTAGCAAATTGTCAGCCAGCAGCCTCCATAGCATCCATACTCGTATTACCACCCCAGAGGGAGGAGTGAAGAGCTGCCACGCCCTTCGCACCACAACTGAAATTGTCATTGACAGCCACAGTCAGAGTCAGGGTGGGAGTCAGAGTCGGAGTCAGAGTCGGAGTTTTGAGGCGTGCCGCGGCCGAACTTTAATTTAATTAACTAAGTGGCCGTAGCAATTAAGTTTGTGCATTTTGGAATAATATAAATTAATTAGAATATGCAAATGAGCTACTTGGCGCAATATTACCGTGCGACAGCATCACAGCTGTCGAGACCCAGAACATTGAGACGCGAACGAATTAATTTACTTGAATAAATTAGCGTGCAGTGCAGGCGAACGAACGTCTTAAAAAGTTGAAGACGCTCGTACTCGTATTTGCTTAGTCCTTTCGTCACGTCTAATATTCCTACAAATATTTGCAGCTTAAATTGTTGGAGCTCATTTGAATACAAATCTCGACGTCAGCATTGTCTAGTCGCTGCTTAAATATTCCGCTTAATATCCATTTAACGACCAGCACAATTCATTTTCCATGGCGAGTCACTCATTAACGCAATTCCCTTTTCAATTCCTTTGCTGTAGCTTCATAGAGAGCGACATTTATGCGTATCAAGAAGTAAGGCAAAGAATTTAATTGCAGAGGAAAGTAAAGTGTGCCTCGAAGTAATTAAATTGAAGGAGTTGACAGAAAACACTTTTTTCTCTTTATTTTATTTCTTTGCGTTCAGCCTCATTTCCGGTATGGTAATACTTTAAAGCATTATGTTATGCGGCATATTTTAATTACAAAATGTGTAGCATACTTTTCAGCAATGTTTTTTCATATTTACGACTGCTTGCTAGAATATTTACTCTTGGCACTTCTCTAGAAGCTAATCCAGTTGACGGTTGTCTGTCAAAATTGAACATATATTGATAGAAAATATTGAAATTAATACAAACAGAATTTCTTTATTGATAGCACAATACAACATAATTGAATCATACACAATGTTCAATTAAATTTTGAAATAAGACGCTTAATTTCTTAACAGCCATAAATATATGAAGTATATTGGCATCAATCGGTTTCTTTCCCGTCAAATCTGGTCGCTTATAATATTCATTGACGTCATCAATTCAGAAAGTGCTGGAAATAGAAAGTGAACATTTCGGGAATTCTGTTCTTTTAAAAAATAGATTTATCTTTTCATCGCTTTTTTCAGAATTGCTAACACAAATGTTTAATGTTATGATTACGCGAAATCTATTATTTTATTACTATTTTATGGTTTATTTATTCTTCTTGTCTTTTTCAATATAAGCTATTGTTTGTTTGTTTTTTTTTTTTCAATATTAGAATGTATTTGTTAGGCAATTTGGGCCAGTGATGGTAATCTGGCGGCGGTTTTCAATAACACTTCCGGCATTTTCTTAAATATTTTTGGGCTGAAATTGCGATTTCAAGGGAAATATATTTGCTTCAGAATGTCAATAAATAAAAATGGTTGCTCAAGACGAAACCAATTCGGTTTTCTTCTAATGATCATTATGTGAAGTATGTACAATATTTTTCAAGAACTTAGAGCCCTCTCAGCTTTCTTTTCCCTAAGAAATGAAAGAGCATGAATTCCGCACTAGTTCTGATATATTTGTTATCTTAAACTATCTTAAACTATCCTTATTAAAATTCTTCCTTAGCTGCTACATAATTTCGTTGCTGCGTACAAGTATGTGTGTGCTTTTGTTTTCTTGGTGGATGAGGGAAGGATGAATGAAGGATGAGGGGAAAATTGAAGCCCAATCGGCGAATTTCCACTCAAGTTGCGTTGCTGCCGCAGCTGCTGCTTTAACATCGAGCTGCTATTTCGGCTCTTGAGGCACAATCTCAATTGTCAATTTGCGTCGCTTTGTCTAGTTTTAAGTTGTCTACTGGAGCGAATTGTTTCGGTTTCGTTTGCTCCCGTTTTTGGCTGGCGTTGGTGGCGTTTGTGGCGCTGGCATTGCGTCTCGCAGTTTCTTGTTCGTTTTGTTGCATTTGTCTCGGTAATTTTGCCAATTCAATTTCACTGGCAAATCAATACCAAAACATCTCGTATACCTACTCCAAAATCGAGTCACACAATCAGTCCATTCACCGGCGAAATTTCAGCACGCTGGCAGAATGAATTCGTCTGAATGGCGAAATTGGTTTAATGTTGTCTTCCCACCTTCACGATTCTCTTCTCGCTATTCCTTATGCCCCATTTCTGTGCAATGTTCCAGAGAGTCGCCTGTGAGCAGACTGTGAGCCAGACAGACAGACAGACAGCCAGTCAGTAAATCAGTGAGGCAGCCGGCTTGCGAAGCAACATTAAACATGTTGAGTGGCTACAGAATTAACATTTCTTTTTGTGGCCCACATTCATGCAGCAGTCGTTTTCGATTTTGAACGACTTTATCGCACATTTCGACTACAAAATGATACCATTAGGAGCCATGCTGGGCCGTTCCCCATCGAAACTGATGGCCTGTGTGAAGATACCGAAATCATAATGAGCAGTCTCTGCTTTTCCAACAGGATGCAACATGTGAGCTCAAAATGCAGAGCCAACATCTGTATGCTGTACGGGTGGGTCATTCAACTGGCAGGCTCCTCAGCAAATGATAAACTGCTTATGAAGGCAATTTCAGCTCGCTGTCCGTGCTACAAAGCCAATGCTACGACTCCCAAATGAGCACATTAATGAGTATTCAAACGGCCTTTCAAGGCATTTCATAAAATACACAATATACATTTTAGGCAATAAAATCGTATATTTGTGGAGAAGTCTACGCAGAAATTGGCTTCTTCTAGTGAATAACTAGGCTACCTTTTCAAGTTTGTGTGTTGTACTTTAATTAGATTTTTTCCTATTTTAAAGGGAGGCCCCATTTGAAGTTAATTAATATAATGTATTTTTCTTATGTAAATTGAAATTTTCTCTTTAATTATTTATAATATTTTTATATATACTCTCTCAATTAGTGGGCATAAATATCACACATTTATTGAAAGAGATAAAGCTCTCTATACAACATAAATGATGTGCCAATTCGCTACTTAGAAGGAGAGAACTGAGAACTTACAAATACACGTTTAAGAGAAGGACTACCATTGAATTAATTTCAAAAAAAGGAAAGCTTCCCTCACGGCCAACAATTTGGTATCTATGGCTGAGCATACAGGACTGTTATCCTGTACAGTTGAGGGTAAATCCTGGTGACCGACAGACGGCTTAAGTAACTCGATATTCTCAAGTTTCTCTATAGTTTAGTTCTATTATGCAATTGCAAAATGTTTGCTTTTGGTTAAACACCAGTATAATCGGTGGTGAAATTTAATTAAACACGTATTGTTAAAATGTAATGCTTTCTCGCCCCTATTAGTCGTTGACCCGAAAATTCTCCTGTCATCTGCAAATGTGATAATTGTCGAAGCAAATTGATTGCAAACACATAATTGATATAAATTGCTTCACAAAGAAATCGGGTCTGTGTGAATGGCGGTTTAATTCATCAAATATTTATCGTTTTGTTTGAGAGCAGGTCACAAAGTCAACTATAATTTGCCACTCCCCTCCATCTTCGCGAGTGCACTTCAGCACAACAAGCAATTAGGACAATCACAATTAAATCGTTATTTCCACATGGCCGCTCAAATACCCCTCTCCATTGTCTTAGTAATACGCAAACCCACTTTAACTGTGGCGGGCAAACGTCAAAGTTTGTTTGTGCCTGTTAGCCATAAAATCAAAGATTCAAAGCCTATATTTAAGTGCTTCTATGGCCCGGACAATTTTGAGTGAATGCTTAAATTGAAATTACTTTATGGCCATTTGATTTCGATTTAAACTGCTCCCCATTCTGGTTCATTTTTTGCTTTATTTATGAATTGAAAATTATGCAGCATATATTTTAAATGAAAGCCATTTAAAGACACTATCTGGATTGAAAACAAGGCTGCAGCTGTGTTGCAAAGTAAATACGAATAAATTTATTTACGTAATTATTCATATTGCTGACACGGCCACAGAATAAATGCATGTGTTTATTTTCAATAAAATCATTCGATAAATAAATATTTTTAATGTGTACAGATTTGTTGGAAAGTTTTCTTATCTCCTTTATTGTCTAAGCTGTTTTGTTGCAACTAAGAGCCTAATGGCCCGGAGGAAGTCTCCTGTCAATGCATAAGAGAGCGGGCTTTATTGCTTTTCTAAATGGATTTAATTTTAGATAATTTAGTTGGTTTATTGTCAAATAAAACACAATGTAACAGTTCATTTTTAAAAAACAGAGCAAAGAATAATAATTTTGTAGAAATTAGTTCTTAAAGTAATCTCCGCACTATTAAAGTAAATCTGCTTGGAATTCAAATCTAATTCTGCCTGCACTAATGAACAAATATTTAGTGAAGCGATGATTTGGTGCATTTTAAAAGAAAACTCTATTGGCAATCGTATTATTCGTGTTTACTACTCATCCGAAAAAACATTTGTAGCTTAACAACAATACATGATTTTTGACAACAGATTAACAAAAGACCAGCCAACTTTTAATCGTCATCATCATCATCAGAAACCAGATCAGACAAACTCAGGTCCGAAGAACGTTTTTCGAGCTCTTCACTGCACTTGGATACAATGACAAGTGGTTGAGCGTACATTCTCTTATACATAGTCACATTTTCCTTGAACTCCTGCTCCGAACGTTTGAGAATGGCCGCCGCCTCATGGTTGAGAGGATCGAGCGGATTCGGATTACGTAGAAGCTGTGGCAGGAAAGTGTCGAATATGTTCATCAGATCGTATGTGGTGGACCAGGCCTCTTTAAAGACATTCATGCACACTAAACCGGTGGTTGACTCGATGTTGGGATGCCAGATTTTGGTAAGGAACCGCAAGCGTGGCGGCTTCAGAGGATACTCCTGTGGCATTGCCACATTCACGGTCCAAACGCCGCCCTCGTAGGCAGTGCCCATCGGTCCCTCAAAGCGCACATCGAACGAGGCCATGTCGTCGTCAACGGTAGTCTGGTAACCCGAGGCTATCAGCCTATTTACGTCCCGTACCAGACGCCGGCCGGACATTGGAGAGGTTGTGTTCACGACTACTTTGGCCATTTGGTCCCTTGTTATCCTATGTAATGCTCCGTTTCGAAACTACAAAGAATTTGGATGCACTATTCTGTTACCTGCGCAACCTTCGAAAATAATCAACTGCGAAATAGATACAGTCAGTCATTTGGCCGATGGGAGAAGCCATTTAACTTATGAGGAATAATTGAAACTTACACAAGGAAAACCGAAATTTTGTTACTGCTGCATCAACTTTTTTTTTTAGACTGTCCGCAAAACGCCTACTTATTCGGAAGTTAGGTGTAGATATGGTGATTGTAGAGAGGACTATTTTACTAGACAGACCTTTCACTTAGCAATTTATTTGCCACTAAGCTCAAGAGCTATAAGAATTGAAAGAACGAAACATAACCACTAACTGTTCTCTATCTGCGTAAGAACTAAAGACAATAAACTCTCGAACACCCAAGAGGACAAATATTTTCATTGGGGACCAGCCCACGGTAAAAGCCATATTTGAAAAACCCTTGCAACTCATTGATGCGTATACGTAATGTTTGAAGAAGACACTGCATTTAAAATAACTGACGAATTGAGCACAATAATTGACAAAGATAATTAATTGCATACAATGTCATTAAGTGAATCAAAGTCTCGATTTCATGAATTCATTAATTGTTTGAGTAGTAGAGTGAAGTAAGTGAAATCCAAAGCCTGCCACTTAAATCGAAGGCTTTAAAATGCGCACACCCTTCGCTCATTACATGTTTTATTTGCATTTAAATTAAAATCAAATTCGTACTGAATCGATTTTTGGGCAATCCTGTCTATTTGTGTATCGCTTTTTTTCATTTTGCTTGTTTATTGTCGAATTCTTGTCGCATTGCGCACAAATTCGCGCCGAACTTTGGCCCCGCGCCTAAACTGGAATCCATTAATTGCGCGTGGGACCAGCCAGCATTCAATTTGGCGCCACTGCCAAATGCTTGTAATTGGCACTAGGTTGAGGTGGTCAATGGTATCATGGTCGCGCCGTCCTGTTGTCGTTTTGTTTCAATGGAGTGCATACCAAATTAGTTGAATTTTCGAGCAATAAATAGAAGCTTGTTTGTTTAAGCGAACGAACTTTGCGACAACTTCTACGACAGTGGCATTTAAGTTAAATGGACGTTGACTGAGAACTGCAAATTGCTGTCATAACAAGCCCCCGTCTATGTCCCATTGTAAAGGGTATCTAAGCATATTTGTGCGATACAGCATGTATGATGCATGTGTGAGCATCTAATCGGCGACGGTGGTATTGGATTCATAGATAGACCGTCTCTCTTGCAACAATGGCAGCTGAAACAATGGCAAATAACGACTAGAAAATTGTGGAAAAATGTCGCGGATAGTTCCAGTTCCACAGCTCGTATTCTGCCCCCGGGCGAACCATTTTACTGTGTCTGCCTCTTAAATGCGCATTGTTGCAATTTTTCCAGTTGAGTGCTCGCATTGTTTTCGCTGTCAACGCGTCGCGTCGACAATGAATAATTAGAATTTTCGAAAGATTGTTACATTCTATGTACACAGATAGACTGTTTGTCTGCGCAATTCATGCGACATTTAACTTGTGTGCCAAGGCTCGTGAGGCATTTATGTTAAAACATTTTTTGGAAATGATCATTTTTGCCGCTTTCCAACAGGTTTATTATTTAATTAGTGTTCTCTTCTTTAAGCAGTTGGCAGTTTATTTTTTCACTTTAAAACAGTCTTCCTATCCAACTTCCTATTTTGAAAAAAAAAATGAAACAAACAAAGAAACAATTTTATGTAAATTGAGCCAACGGCTCCCTTTTTAATACTGTTTTGGGCAGTTCATGGCATAGTTTTACTCTTCAATCAATATTTTACATTTTTTAATTACGCGTGCTTTCTGGTTTTGTGGCGCTTTGTAAACTTATTGTAAAATAATGTGAATATATTTATTTGTATTTATTTGCCGTTCAAGTATGCAACAAAAAATCGCTTTAAATTAAAAACTATTTGGATGTGGTAGGTGCGGGATGACAGCCAATTATTATTGTATCAATGAATTGTTTGGTATTTTTGTAGCATCGTTGGCTTCAATCAATTTATTTGATTTAACAAAATGCATTATTAATCAGACGCGGGTGTAATCAATAAAGTTAACACAAAAGCTGATATTTCAATGGGGCTTTAATATTTGCTCGAAAATCTGTGGCTTTGCCAATTCTTTTGCAAACATCTTCTGTATATATATTTAACTTTCTGTTCTCTCTTCTTGAGACTTTATATTCAACATCTGAGTGCACATAAAAATGTGCTTCATTTTTTTATAATTAACTAGAATTGTACATTGCCGATTTAGCTGCTTGTCCAGATTTCATTTGCTGAAGCTCGGGCATATGCCCCGAGTTCTAGCCCCGCACCCAAGGGGCTCTAAGTACGAGAGACGCGCACTTAAATGTGATTTTCAAGTGCATAAATTAAAACTTTAATAGATGCCATTAAGCGTGTTATCCGCCATTAAAACAATATGGAAGCCAAGACTATTACGACGCGCTAGCGAGAGAAATACGATTATCGCGTGAAATTAACGTGAAATTAATGCAAACTACGCGGCAACCATGGAGCCGGCGGCAAGAAGCGACACGTCGCCCATGGAGGAGTCCATGCCTACACCCCCATCTCCACCCTCCCTATCCATTTTCAGTAACTAGATATGAGCAACTGCTCTGAGTGGATGAGTGCTGGCGACGGCATTAGGAAATAAGTGGAACATGGGCGTTAATTTAAGGATTGTTCCGGCACCAGCTGTAATGGACTGTGTGGACTGTGTGTACGGTTGGTAATCAAGTTGTTTTTGCGTGTACCCGACCACCAGACTATGTCAAAGGCTCCGGCAAAATAAGCGGGCAACACTTCAGAACTCAACGAGAAGAAACCATGCGACAGGGCGTAACCGACGAGGCGATATCCTTTAGCCAACTGACTAATTAAAATTAATCTGCTTCGAAAACGCACTTTTCGGGAAACTCTTTGTTGTAAATGGAACGGCTTTTGAGAAGCTTTGGAGGCGTTGGAATATTTAAATTAATCCTCGAGCTAATATTTTCGATAATTACATTTCACGCTTAAGCCTTCAACAGAAAGAATTGTTTAAGCTTACAAGCACGCACTGAGCGTCAATTGTAAGAAGACTCGAATACTATAAAATTACAGTATTTAAGTCTTGGCAAAGCAGCTCTCTCAGCTTCTTCAACAGTTCTTACAAGCTTTTGAGATCTCGCATACCTTTGCTTGTACGAATACGAGTACCATATAATTCAGTGGAGCTGGCATACCCTCTTACCCTTTTACAAAGTGTAAAAATGTTCTACAGACGAAACAATAGCTTATGCCAAAGAGCAAGCAGCAGGGGACACTAAACAAAGGAACAATGGCGCAGAGACAACAATGGCGGTCGACAAAAGGCAACCACGAAAAGGATAGCGAATGCCAGCAGCTGCCGCCGCAGCAGCATCAGAAGCAGAAATGGAAGCAAAAGGGAAATGGCGAAAAGTCAGCAACCGCACCTTCCTGCGACACGAAATTCGCCAAATTAAGTTGCAAACACTTTGATTAAGATTCACAGCAAATAAAAAGGTGGGACGCCTAAGAAATCCAAATGATCGCTTCGTGGTCATTTAATGAAGACATTGGAAAAACAATGTGTGCAGCAATTATACAAAAATTATAATCACATCTTTCTAGAATTCCAATTCCAATTTTATAAAAGTCATTCTTAAGGAATGGATGAAAGTTCTCCGCTAAAACCAATTAGTTGCTTTAATTCCCCAGCACTTTATAATATATTTATCAAAGGTAGTGGAAATGACAGAGAGACAGAGCCAAAAGCCACGCGGAAAGCATTTCATGGTTTTTTAATAACATCGTAGTAGAAAGGGGAGAGGGAACGGGTTGAGTTCTCGATAAGTATACAAAGTAAATTGCTGCTGTTCACTGGTAATAAAAAAAAATTACCAAGCACCATTCGCAAAGTCATTTTCAAGCTCAATGTACTTTCAAAGTAATGCTCTCCACCTGCTCATTTCTATTTCTCGGTGTATCCCATGCACTTGTTCTAGTTTTTATTGCATTCTGTTCTTTTCTTTTTGATTCGCAACGCTTGCCGTTTTATGGTCTCATTTCAGGCAAATGGCGAAGGTGTAGGGTGTTGGGTGTTGGGTGATGGGTGTAGGGTGTTGGGTGCGGGGTGTTCTTCACTCGCTCGTGGTTTAACAAAATCGTTTGCTTTGCGAAACACGTGCTTTTATTTAAAATGTCGTAAATATGTCTTGCATAGCGTTGTGGAAATTTTCCTTTTTATTTTGAATTGCTGCCAAAGCAGAGAAATATAATTTATATTGCCATTTTTATTGAATTTTTTCATTGTTTCGTGACCGACATCAAAAAATCGCGGCAGATTTCAGCCCAAACCATTTGAAGTGCTTTTCGTATGTATGGCCATAGCTGGCCCTGCAATTCAAATACGGAATTCGCACAGGTAATAAATCCTAACAAGCCAAAAGTGCATGGAATTTCAATTAGGCTAAAAATACAAAAATATACAAATACAAAATTGTAATATACTTCAACAATTTGAAAAGTTTGCATAACCGACTAATGTAAACAATGCGTGTGCTGGAAGGCTGATTTGTCTATCAAAAGACAATCGGATGTCTTCTTGAATTTAGTTACTTCTATTTTGATTAAAATGTAGTATGCAAGGAAATAATAATCGAAGATATGCAGATACAACAACTTCAAGATATAAAATAATTATGAGTACTGGTAGCAGTAATGCTATTGCGAAAAATCTAAATTCAAGAGTTGGAAGACATAAATTTGTTGTGTTCTATTTATCGAACTCGACAACTCTTCTCCTTTTAAATCCACTAAACTATTACTGAACCAGTGCAGAATATTTGGGGAGGTGGTGGAATATTTGCGAATCAATTACTTAATAAATTGATAAATATCTTTCCTTGAAAAGCCAATATTTTCAGTAACATTTCATTGGGCTTTATTCGAGCTAAGAATTGAATGCTTGTTCTGTTTCTCACACTTAAAATACCACTTAACTGAGCACAACTAGCAGTTAGAAGTTAAAGCAAACATTACCTTTATATAGGCAGTCAATTCTGATCATTGTTCAACATTTTGCATTCACTTACTCGTTCCAAGCTACATTCGAGTCCCTTCGTGTGCATCGTAAATTCAATTTTTGAAATTGTGTTTTGTCCATTCTGTGAAGCTGTGAGGTTGTGAAGGCCTGTCTGACCTACCTGGTGACATGCATTCGCATTTTCCTGCCGACAGATATCACATTTAACTATTTTGACAGTAGTGCAAAGTTTCACAATAAATCAGAAAATTTGTTAAACATTGCTGGGTGGAAAAAGTTTTAGCTACGCCAAATGGAAATTTGTTTGCAATGCTGTTGGTGCTGGCATTGTTGCTAATGCTGTTGAAATCGGATTCAGCTGCTTACATCAGTGGCAGAGGAGCTCATTTTATTTTACAGCGTATTTCAAAACTGAGATGGAAATGCGAATGCGAATGCGAATGTGTATTTTGTAGCGTACTCGTAGTTGACATTTAGAATGCAGTCCCCTTTCGCTTTCGCTGTCGTGTCGGGAACTGTGCGCATAATTTGTGCAAATGGCATTAAATGGAAACATGCCCTGGGCCTGGCATGAAGGCGTCAGTGCGTGAAAACTGGCGCACTTTATTCGCATTTTTGATTTACAGGCTAGGCAGAGGCCAGTATGTAATGGCCTCATGCATCGGTTAATGCAACAGTTTTGGGTTAATGAGAACATTATCTCCATCAGCCGGAATATATGACTTCGCAACGAGTGGCAATGCAGAAATCAACATGGTAATGAGCTCAAGCTCAGATTAATGCACTCATGCGCTTAATACTAAAATGCCATTAGCATGTGGATTGTCAATAATTCAATTGACAACTCGCAACAAATTCATTTTGTAATCACACGAGGGATTACCTCAAACGTGTTGATTTCTGATGGAGGCGGTGGGGAATACATGGAGACTGACACTCAAAAGGGGAGACCGAACACGAGAAACAACTCATTGAACTGCAATCGATTTATTCTCACTGTGAGACGAAAGACAATTCTCAGAAATACCGTAGAGCCGTGCATGTAAAAAGGAAAGAGCAAGTTTCATGCTCCCGAAATCTCATCTTTATTAAGGTGAATAGATATTTGAGAGGAGATCTGGGAAAAGAGAATAGATTATGAAAAAAAGGAAGTATGCTGAAAATCTGTATTAGCTTCTTGTTTAATCGCATATGAAGGTTGCTTAATATGGGGAATATTTTTAATCGCTATACAAATGTTGAAATGTTCTCCATATTTTCATATTAGACTATCTTCTCTATTGCTATCTTATACATTTTCCGATATCTAACTGAACTGTATATGTAATCAACTAAACATATTTGATTTCATGTTATCGTTTTTAAATATCTCCCACAGTAGTTGTCCGCTTTCTCTTGTTTCTCTACTATTGGAGCAATCAAAGTCCGTGACGAATGAACCTTAACGTTTATGGCGATAAAGAGATTTATCGATGAACAAATCAACTGAAACAATATAGCAATAGCACACACACACACACCATATACAACAGACTGAACTGCGCTGAGTGAGTTGCTTCCTTCCGGCTTTATGCGCCTTTTTATGGTTCCGGACTCCGCCCGACATCCGGGTGGAGGCTGCCGTCCGCCTGCGCGTGTGTTTTATAGAGCACTTCATTGCGCTCACTTATGGGACGATTAAAATCGATTTAATCCATTCAAAGCATAAATCAGTTACAAAGCATGCTGACTAGCTCGAGCCAATCTTACGATGTGCCGCTTGCCGCTTCTAGCCACTTCCCAAGGTCAGTTGGCCATTCCAAGTGATGGATGGAGCTTGAAGTTGGCAAATATTCGTATTGTATCTACTATTACCAACATCCATTTATCCATCTATGCATCCGTTCGTACTTTGGCAACCAATTGCAGGCAGCGGGACTCTCAAATTTGAAATCGTCAGAGAATTAAGCATGAATTGACTTTTTCATAGTTATAAACGCATACTTGCATTGTAAAGTGGGAAAGCCCATTCATCATTTATGTTGATGATGATTTCCCACAGCGCAAACGAAACGCTCAAAATTTATTGTTTGGAAAACAAACGAAACAAACTACAATACACTCATGCAAGTATGTGGCAATGGTAAAAGCTTTTAAATGCAAAAATATATATAGTATTTCATTTGTAGCAAAAATTGCTTATTGATTTGCAATTCTCGCATTCTGAAAAAGTGCATGACATACAAAAATATCGCTTGATATTAGTGTTTGTTTGTTTGTTTTAGTTATAAACCAGCAACGAACAAAGGCCTGCGAAAAGATGCATAAGCCTGTTTATTTACTTTTATTACAATATTTGTATTTACCTTTCTCTCATATGTGTAAATACATACACATATTTATACGAGTGTGTATGTAAGAAATGCAGGAATTGCAGCAAAGCTGGCACGAGTGTCTCGATTTGTTTGCTTAATGTTTATAGTACAATTCTGTGTTTCTGCAGGCACTGAGCGTATTTTTTTAAGATCTCTCTTGACCATTTTTGTGGGCTCAATAGTTTTTTGCTCATAGATGGTAAATATCTAATACTTACTCAGCACAATTGTGCGACATCTTGCTTATTTATACTATACTTGTATATAAAAAATGAATCTCAATTTGCATTCACATTTGAAATTTCAAGCCAGCACTGATATTTTTAATTGAAATTGTCTGCACAACAATTATCAGTTGGGATTTTCAGCTCTGATTTCGTATATGAACTGAAAATTGGGAATCTAGAGTATGATCTATGATGTCTATGATGATTTACTTTTGAATTTGCTTACTGTTTGTTTATTTGCCCAAAGCTAATTAAAGATTTCTCTATGATTTATGGTATATTGGAGTATTGTTAAATGTACTCGAATTTCAGTACAAACTCGTATTTAATTATTTATTATTGGGAAAAATTATAAAGATTAAAGATTTATCTGTGATTTATGATATTTTGAAGTATTGTTAAATGCTTATTCTCGTATTTAAACATTTATTATTAGGAAAAATTATATCACTTTCACACCAAAAATTAATATTTCCCGAACTGGTTTCAACTTTTATTATTTGATTTACTGAGCGACGCCACGTAAGTGCGTCAGATTTTCCACAATCAGATTTCTGCACTTTAAAACAAGTAGTTGCGCAGAAAATTCGGCAGATGGCGCAAACGCGATTTCCTAAAAGGTCTACACGTTAAATGCCCTTTTGGCGCATTTTAAAATAATTTGAAATTAATATTTAATTTACTTCAATTATTTTGTATATTTAGTTTACCCCAATTACAAATTTAATTTGATGCCTTAATATCTCCGGTAATTAGAAATACCATTAGCTGTTAAGTAAGACACAATCTTGACAACTCCAATGCACTCGTCTGTGGAACTTACAAACTTAGTTTTCGGAATACCAACGATATCGTAAAATAAGGACTCACGGCTTAATAGCGTTTTCCCAGCAGGTGTTGCTGAAAAATTTGAAATGCGAGAAATGGACCCCCGGCCGACGACACTGTTAGAAATATGTCATTAAATATTATAATTAAAGAGCACTTGAGAATTTGAGTATCATTATTTGAACAAAGCCAAATTTGAGTTCAAAGTTTAAAGTATAATCCGGATTATGAGCAAATGTTATGAACAGGTCTAATAACAAGGTTTGGATATGTGCACACAGCTCAATATAATTTCTTTGCTCTTCGTTGCGTTTGGGTTCCTTTCGTGTGATCCGAATCTTGGAAGGGCATACTATCGTCTAGAAATATAGAGAGATGTACGTACGTTCACTTTTAGGAACTCAAGAATCGCTTTGCTCAAAATAAAGATACTCTTGTTCAAACCATACTCGTATTGTCTGCAGGTTGCGGTATAATGGCTGGAATTGGAACTGGCACTGGCAGTGGTGCTGGTGGTGGTGCGGGTGCGGGTGCAGGTGCAGGTGCTGGCTCTGGAGCTGTTTCTGGCTGTGGTGCTACTTCAGGCTCCGCTTGTGCCACATCCGGTGGCATCTCTCTGGTTTCGCGCGATGCCGTTCCGGTTCTTAGGCCGTGTGGGAGGTCAGGATCGTCTCGCTTCGCAAAGAATGGTAGACCAAAGGAAAAAGAGGGATGTTCATCTTGTCTCTGTTTTATAGGCTTTTTATTGTCGTCACCATCATTGCCACCGCCTCCACGCTTGTTAACACTGGTACCAGGTTTTTCTTCGAATGGCGTCATCATATCCATCGGGAAGGGAAATATAATCCTACAATTGCGCTCAGTGGCAATTGATGTCAATATTTGTAAGTGCCTTAGCTGCGCAGCGATATTTGAGGAATTAATGCGTTTATTAAAAAGCCTTCGCCTTTATAGTAGTTACCTGTAGCGTGATTTTATTGGTAGCCATTACATCGGAGGCCTCCTTGAGCGCCTTCGACGCATTTAACTCGCCCTGGGCGGAGATAATTTTGGCGCGAGCCTCCCTAAGAGCTTCCGCCTCGCTGGCTAATGCTCGCTGCATGGCCTCGGGCAGGCTTATGTCCTTACTGTAAACACAGACAGACACTGCATTACAGGTCAGGCACATAATATGCTATAAATTACAGTTCAACGCGCTCCACTCTGACACCCCAGCGCTCTGTGGCTTCGTCGACGGCCTCGGTGATTTCCTTGGACAGTTTCTCCCTGGAAGTCAAAAGTTCCATGAGCGGCTTGGAGCCCACCGCATTTCGTAGCGTGGTCTGAGCAAGAAATATTGTCGCCTCCTCCACATCGTCCACTTGAAGAAGTGCATCCATGGGATTGTAAATGGAGTAGAAGAGTACAGCGTCCACACGTATCGTCACCGAGTCGCTGGTTATCACATCCTGAGGCGGCACTTCCTCCACCTCTGTTCGGAGATCAATCACTGCCATAGAATCTATGCAGGGTAGTATGAAAACGATGCCTGGCCCTCGTGTGCCCTTTCTGTGTGTAGACAATTCACTATTGGATCCATGTTTTTGGCACTTCCACTCAGAGTTCTTACCTGAGGCGACCCAATCTCAAAACGACTCCGCGTTGAAACTCCTTCAATACGCTTAGACAAAAGAATATAGCCACGGGAAACAGAAGCACAACAAACACTATCGAGAAGATTGTAGCACATTTCTCAAATCCAGTATTTCGGTCGTCCTCGGCTGTGGAGAGGAACAGTTGTATATTCTCTTAAGTCCAGCCAATCAGGCGGTAGACTTACTGGTATTGATGTATCTCCTTCGAGCAACACTGAGTTCTGGCCTGTGGCTTCTTCTTTGGTTGATTTCTTCATCGGTTGTATCCTCCTCTGACGGCCGCTCCCTTCGACGTTGCTCCTTTGGAGGCTGCTCCTTTGGCGGTTGCTCGTTTGGAGATTGCTCGTTTGGAGGCTCAAAACTTCGCCTTTTACCTTTGTATCGCGGGTTTGGCTCAACCATTACTATCAATTTTGTTGAAGAACTTATTAGACAATTCTAGTGATATCATATGTAGGAAAAAGAATTATTTTTGAAATATATATTTATGTATAGTATATGAGAGCTGACACTAAAAAGTATATACTTGATCAGCTTAACTATGCATTGTAGATGTAAATATAAAAAAGGTAAATATAAAAAGGTGTATGGATTATTCAGATACAATAAATGAAAAAAAAACTGCTCATAATGTATCATATGAATAAATATTCCCCTAAGTTAAGTCTTAAGAAGTCTTTGTGAGCAATATCTAATTTGGTCGTTATTCGAAAAATGAGCATTGAATTACTTGAGCTAAGTCTTTGTATACAACTGAAAGGTGAATATGTAGAGCTATAAAGTGTAAGAATTATTTAAAAAGAAATAAAATTACTTTAAAAAGTACATAAGTTTGGAATTTTGTACTGCATACTAGTCGAAAAGCAAAAATAGAAAATATAATAATATAAAATATTTTTAAAAATAATAAACCCGCAACTACCAATTTCCAAAATAAAATATCATTATTTTAATTCAGGTAATTATTTTGTATCAAAAATAAACTTTAATGAAGTGCGAATCAATCGCAATTTTCTTTTCTATTCTACAACATACGGGAATAATTCAGAAATAAATATTTCAAAGTTTTGTACAATTAGTGTTAGACTTTTGTTCAAATACCAAGTGTATTTTTATTTGATTCTTAATTCAAGTCTTAATTCAGTTGCCAACGTTTTTTTGCGTGTACACATACTATATAGTGTGTCCTGCCATTTGGTTTTGTTTTTATTTTCATTTGTAGACTGCGGCACCCGGATGACGCAAATACTATAATTGTGCTCGGGCTTTTGTTTGATCAAGTTGGTTTGGGCCCAAATGCATGTCTTGACGCTTGGGAGTCGCACTCGAGGGGTGGCATACTGACCAGGCCAGGCATTCGGAATATTTTCAGAGCCAATGCGACTTGAGTTCCATTCCCTGAACGCGCCATTCTCAGTGCATTTTTGTTTCGAACTTAAACTGCATACTTGCCTGCTGAAAGAAAATAGTTTTTGCTTTTTCACGGCGGCAATGCCATTACGGGCGAGGGCTGCACGTTCTCCTAATGACCATTAATATTCATTTGGCCTAATCGGTTTATGGCTGGCGCGTAATCGCCCGCACTTCGCACGTCTGTTGCGCATGAACTTGCGTTCACATCTTGCCCATAGATTTGGCAATTTGCATAGAATATGGGTTACTTGTAAAAAACACATACTTGTACTCCTATTCTAGTAAACATATGTATTTTGTTCGCAGATAGCAGAGTGTGTCAATTTTGGCGGGCAATTTTCCAAACGGCCATACCCAATATGGCGGAGAGCACATTTGCATGCGTGAGTATGAGCCTCCAATTTGTATCTGCATATTCGAGCTACTACATAAGTAGATACATAGATAAAAATGTGTACACATGCCTGTGTGTGCTGAAATGCGCATTCGAAGTGCGAATTGGTGCTTTTTAAACTCATTAACGTGTTCGTTTCAATTAACTGCAATTATGCTAATTGGCGCTGACAGCCACAGGAGTGCCCCTGTAAGCTTCTCCACAGTTTCCGGTGCAGTTGTCGAAAACGTTTTGATGTTTGCGTATTTGCTGAACATTATGGTGCGAGCACACACATAGCTCTTCCATCGAATGCGCACTTTTTACGTGTCTATTTGAACATGGAATACCAACAAACTGACTTACTCCACACACACACACACACATCGATCAACAGTCAACACCGCGTATAAATCCCACACATTCGAGCACAGTCAACATTCAAATGTACCTTCAAAAATAAATCATAAATATTAAAGTAAAAGGTTATTAAAGAAATTAATTAAAATAAAAAAAACAGTCAGAGTTATTTTTAGTCAATGAATCCTTTTTCTACCTCTACTTCTTTTAAAATATTGCTCTCCATTTAAGTCTGAAATCAAAGCAAAATCAATATTCAAAAATAAATTGCAAATATTATAGTAAAAGGTAATTTAAAAAATTAAATAAAATAAAAACAATTTAAGTGTTTTTTTTAGTCATTGAATCATTTTTCTACCTCACCTTTTTTTAAAATATCGATTTCGATCGATTTGAAAGCAATACAAAATCAATTATCAATCAATTTTAATGGTGTTTTAAGGCGAGGTAATCCACGACGATTATGGAACTGCTGCTTGTTAAATTGTATTCATCCGACGTATAAGCATCTGACTAAATGACTTCTGAAATAAATAAATATTCACATGTAGACTTATGGCATTTTTTCATTCACTCTCTGCACAGCTAATTAAAAGGGTTTGGCTCTAACGTTCTTAAACCTGTTATTTTCGTCTTCCATTTTTATATTTTAAAGTACATCTTTGCAGCATAAGCATATAAGAATCCGTTCAGAGGTACTCTACAATTGGCAATCGCTTAAAATTTTTACACGAAAATAAACCAAATCTGATTAAAAAAAAAAATAGGTGTCGTCTTGCCAGCAATGTCACCTGTATTTACAGTTAAGTGCAAACATTAAAATATCCTGAATTCCACAATTATTATTTATTGCCAATAAACGTATAATGGTGTGGGTTGACATGGTTGGTTTAATTCCTGCAGAGAATCGCAGTGTGATAGATGCAGGTGATACGAATTTAAATTATTTATTAATTTCGTATCACTTTTTTTACATACACAGATGGTGGTAGTGGCCTTTGACTGTAATATGCAAATAAATGAGAAATGATAGCATAAAAAATATTTCCATTTCGTGATTTAAAAGATAGACAAATGATTTAAAGCATATTTATCAGTTATTTATATTGGTAGAGCTTTTTTTAAGCCTTACTATGGCAACTTTAAAAAAGCGTAAATTGTGCAAACAAGATGAGATTGGTTGGACTTGGACAAATTCATTTTATTTGATTAAATTTAGCTCGAGTCTAACAATATTTATTCACTCTCTCATTCCCAAGCCAAACTATGCGCTTATCAATGCGTATTGTACTATAGTTGTAAATGGGTGGGCATTTCTCTTAATATCGCTTATTGGATGTTTTTAATTTCAATTTCCGTTGCTTTTTGTCATCTTGATTGACAAATTGAAACAAATCACGGCACATATATCAGGCAGCATCCATTACACTCCAGTGAGTCGACCTTTCGTCACAGCCCACGCCGATGGCTAGGACCTTAGGGGCATGGCATTAGTTTTTGGCCATGACCACGAGACTTTGGCAAGGACTGCCCAGCAGCTGGCCAGTCTGGACAGCTGTGCGAGTAATTCATCAATTTTAGGCACTTAATATGAAGTTGGCATAGTTTGTTGGCTGCATTGTTAATGAAAGCGTAAGCCGCTTGGCGGAGGGCGGAGGACGGAGGGCGTGGCAGACGAAATAAATGAATCTATATTGTGTGCGGACAGGACAGATGGTTCGTGTCAGAATCTATGCTCACGGTCGCACCAAACGAAAAACAACGAACAGTCACGGCACGACTGAAAGGCAAAAACAATGATAAATTAATTAACTTATTTCCGTGTCCTCCAGCAGGCTGCGTGCGAAAGGCAGCAGAAACAAAACAAAAACACAGAGCATAGCAAAAGGGCAACATAAAGAAACGTGCTCAGAAATATATAAAGTTAATAAAATAGAGAAGTGAAAATAATAAGGCAGTCGTGAAAAGGCTAGAAATTAAATTTACGCACACCGCCCCGGGCTGTTAGTCTCCATCTACTAGTCGAAATGGAATTTCGCTTTAAAGTTATTAAGCTTGAATTTTATTTCTGCCAGCGCAACTGTTTGTGAGCAGCCAAGTGGAAATCATAATTCGCAACCGCGCCCACAGCTCCAAACAAAGGCCATTGAAATGTGCGCTCGAGGAGATAAGAGAGCGAGAGAGAGAGAGCTGGCCAAGTGCCTGCACACCTTGCCGCACTGATAATTACAAGCGGCAAGATAAACGACAACTGCAGTCTAATCGCAAATTAATTCGTATTCGCCGAACAATGGCAGTCTGCCTGGTTGCCTGTTTGCCTGTTTGCCTGACAGCCTCCGACTACCTAGCCTGCCTTGCAGATCCCATCAGGAGCATTGCCTTGCAGCCGCAAATGATTTGGAGCCGGGAGTGGGAAGAGGCGAAGTCAAACAATGCGACAAACTTTTTTGGATTGCGTAATCAGAGGAAGCCACACGGAGACACACAAAACAGGACAAAATAGAAGGAAACACAGCAGACAAAAGTGGTTTACATGTTTGCTTTTGGTGACAAAGTTGAGCCTCGCCCGACTTGATTAGCGAGTTTCGCTGCAGTAGTCCTGAATTGGAAGAGGCGGCATGGAAGCGAACACAGATGCTGACGACAGCACTTCCATTCATACGTGCAGTGCCTAGCTGACTCCAATACTGTGATCACGCCCCTAGGCCACTCCCGCTGCTGTAGTTCAATTACTCTTATCACTCATACGCCACGTGCGCCTGGCCGTGATGTGCGCACATTAGGAAAAGGTGCTGTTCATTGGCATGCGACTGCTCTCGGCACGTCTATATCAAGCTGTCAAAACGTTTATCACTTGGCCTGACAACTCTACTCTTATCACGCCCCAATCACATGCCGCATAAATTATTTACACGTATGCAATGTCAACAAATCGTGAGTGTAAAAATTGTTATTGTTGCAATCGTGAGTCTAAAAATTGTTAACTGCACACTGTGCTACAAAAATCATCGAATGACAATATAATCGAGTGTCGCAATTATGTACACAGTCGAGATGAAATACTTTTTAGAATTGATATCACATAAAGATTGACTTTCACATGGAGAGCTTTGTAATTCTACTAAGCACACAATTCTCTTCAGAGTAACCGATTTTAAGCAAGAAATGATGAGACTGCAAACACAGTTTTTCAGGACAAGCTCAATTGTATTAATTACTTGATAAATAGAAGTATGACCTACACAGAATACAAGTACTAGTACTGAAATGGTTTATTTGCAAAAACAAT